AAACGTGTTTAGTGAAAATTAGAGCGTATTCCTCATTTGATTTTGGTTTTAGTGGCTATACAATGATGCAAGCTCTCCATATTTTTGCCTGCGGTGGTTTACTCTTAAAACACCCCCTCTAGTGGTTTTACAAATCTCTTCATCTTCCACATAAAAAAATACATGTATTTAATAAATCAAGCAGATGTACTTCATTATATTTAGGTTTACTCAATAACAGATGTTTGTGGGGAATATTGATAGGCTGGGTAACGTATTTGAATTTTGGATTTTTGCTTCTATCTAGAGTAAAAGTCATATGGAACTGTCCATCAGACCACTGAAAAAGCCCAACCAAACTTTGTAAAAAGCGATTGGATTGGTGATAAACTTATTTAAAAAAATTTTTACAAAAAATTATACACATAATATATATAAATATTATAAAATAAATATTTCACAAATTTATACATCAAGCGTTTTAAAGTGGATTTTTTTTGCCAGTTTTTTGAAATATAGAGAAAAGTCTACATTCAAAACTACTAATGGTAAAAAATAAAAAAAAAATTAAATAAAATTGAATAAAAAGATGAATCGGGTAACTTGGTGCCAGATTATTCATTGGCGAGGTTAAAATGCAGGTAACAGATACATATTTAAGATTGGTATGACAGTTTATTTGATTAATACTCTAACTGAAGTATGTGTTGAAACCGAAGGTTCACAGGTTCAAATTTCAGCAGGGTCAACTAAGCGTTTCATCATTTCAAGATCAATAAAATGTTTACCATAAAATTGGAGTGGAAGGATCTATCCATCAATTGTAGATCCATTTGAGATAAACATTTTGATTCTAAATACAGGTAAGAAAGAACGGCATCAAAACGGTTAGTCAATTCATTTACAACATTTCTGGTACTGTTATCCATGAACTTAGAACTTGTTATCTTGGTTTTAAATCCCTGGGTGGAGAACCAAAATTAGACCCTATACGGTTTCATTTGGTCAGGGACAAATAATTTTTGTAAGGACCCAGACAACAGCACACAATCAATTGCCTTCTTAAGGTGGTAACAAAAAGGGAGGGAGGAAGGGAGGGAGGAAGGAAGGGAGGGAGGAAGGAAGGGAGGGAGGAAGGGAGGGAGGGAGGAAGGGAGGGAGGAAGGAAGGGAGGAAGGAAGGAAGGAAGGAAGGGAGGAAGGAAGGAAGGGAGGAAGGAAGGAAGGGAGGAAGGAAGGGAGGAAGGAAGGAAGGAAGGAAGGGAGGGAGGGAGGGAGGAAGGCAGGGAGGGAGGGAGGAAGGGAGGGAGGAAGACGTTTAATGTTATTGCTTTGCTAAAAATCAAGAGAAATACACTGACCACTCTAACAGTTTGGCTATTCACTAGAATGGCAATTAGAGCTATGTGCATTAAAAAAAGCATTCAGAGAAAATACCCTTACTTCCACTTTTCAATAAAGTTAAACAAAAACATTTTGGTTTCCATTTTTCTCCTCGTTCTCTCTCCTTTTAATGTGTGCTAGCTTTAAGTCCTTCATTTTAGTAAAAAGCAATACAGGGAACACCTGAAACTCATTCAGCAAGAAATTGGGCATTTTGCAAATGTCATTGCACTTTAAAAATAAAGTGCTATTTTTGCATTTAATTACCTCGAAACTAAAAGGAACCTTTGTGCTTGATGAAAGAATTACAGCAACAGAGGACATAGCTGAAGCAAGATTTTATATATCTGCTAAGAAAGCCATATGATAAAAAAAGCTCTCTTACTTAAATCATTTTATCTCAAATGAAAGTATAAAGAAAACGGGACTTATGGCTAACAATACATATAAAGAGATGGAAAAAAAACAGCCACTTGTGCTACAAATTTTTATTTTTACAGATAATTATCATTTTAGAACTGGATACATTTTGTCTACTGCGGTAGAATTAAACAAAGATCCATAGATCTATCGCATTGGACAACATACAGATAGGATTTAGCTTCACTCTAACCTACTGTGATGTTGTTCCTGTTATTTCTAAATACCAAAACCGTGATCCCTTAACCCCTTAAGGACCAAAACTTCTGGAATAAAAGGGAATCATGACATGTCACACATGTCATGTGTCCTTAAGGGATTAAAGGGACACTATTGGCATCCAGACCACTTCAGCTCATTGACGTGGTCTCGGTGCAATGTTATTATGGCACTTAGTGCTGCAATGCTATACACTGCAGTTCTAGAAAAACTGCAATTTATACATTGCAGCACTTAGTCTGGAGACACTTTCTCCATACAAGTGGACCTTGTCCAGTATCGGACGTTTGATGTCCTAACACTCTGCATGAGGCGTCAGATTGTTCCCCGTAGGAAAGCGTGCAGCATTTGCAGTACATGCGCATCTGTGCCCGCTCATCGCAGAACAGAGAAGGCGGCGAAGTCACGACCCAGTTCTGATGTACATCGGCACTTTTATCAGGTAAGTAAATAAAGGTGTTTTTAACCCTTTATTTACCACTATGGGCAGGTGGAGCAGAGGGAGGGGGTGGGAAGGCAGAGAGAGAGAGCTATAGTGCCAGGCATACAGCTTGTATCCATTTAAAGTAGTTTTGCAGTGCAACAAAATAGTGTCTATGCATAAAAACATTTGCATTTTGGCTAAACTACACATCTAGTTACGGTCAGGCTGACTGCAAGTAGAGAGGCTCTTCCTTATGAAGACCTTTAAGAATCAAAGGTCTTCACTTCATCATCATCATGAACAATATGATTACACCAAACACATCTAAAGTTTCTCTATGAGAGGCATCCAATTTGCAGAGCACAGAGATTGCAGAGCATGCACCATATGTCATCACTGATTCTCTAAAAGATGCTTTAGGTTGGACTGAGATCATCAACAATGATCTCAGAAGAGGCAAAGTGACTACTGAAAGAAGCATATCCCAGTCCTGGATTAAATTCAATTGCTTTTTTCACCAGGTTTCACCCCTGTGGCTGGCCCTGGTGTCACCGGTCGGTCCTGCGGGCGCGCGAGGGAGCACTCTCCCCTGAGTGCTCTCTGCCCAGCTCCCTCGCGCACCGCAGTGATGCCAGAGCATGACGTTATATTCTGGCTCTGGCATCAGTAAGTGGCGCGCGAGGGAGCTAGGTAGAGAGCCCTCAGGGGAGAGTGCTCCCTCGCGCGCCCACAGGGCCGGCTGCCAGGCAGCCCCAGTGAATCCCCTCAGCACTCCCAAAGGTAGGAGGCTAGGGGATCACATTTAAAAAAAATGTGTATGTGTGTTAGTGTTAGAGTGTGTGTGTGTTAGTGTTAGTTTATGTGTGAGTGTGTGTCTGCTAGTGAGTGTCAGTTTGTGTGTCAGTTTGTGTGTCTGTTAGTGAGTCTGTTTGGTGTTTGTAAGTGAGTGTGTAAGTATGTCTGTCACTGTGTCTCTGTCAGTAAATGTGTGTGTCGGTTAGCTAGTGTGTATGCGTCTGTTCGTGATAGTGTGTGTGTGTGTTTAAAACCCCTTCAGCACTTACCTTTCTCCAGCGTCGGACTCCCTTGGAGCTGGGGATCCCTCCTCCCTGATCCGCCTCTCAGCTACGAATGCGCATGCGCGGCAAAAACCACGTGCGCATTCAAACCGCACATAGGAAAGCATTACTCAATGCTTTCCTATGGACGTCCATGGTCTTCTAACTGATTTTCACAGTGAGAATCGTGGAAGCTCCTCTAGTGGCTGTCAGTGAGACAGCCACTAAGGGCTGGATTAACCCTCAGTGAAACATAGCAGTTTCTCTGAAACTGCTATGTTTTCAGCTGCAGGGTTAAAACTAGAGGGACCTGGCACCCAGACCACTTCATTGAGCTGTGTGATCTGGGTGTCTGTAGTGTTTTTTTAAGTGTGTGTGTACCTGCATGCACTGGTGTACATACCACAGTCGCAGGGGTCGCAGCCCTGCAACCCCTGCGACCAGTTGCCCGCCACCAGGTGTTCCGGCCCACGCAGAGTAAGCAGTGAAATAAAATGAAGTATAAATATGGTTTTATTAAACTGGTCAAAGCTGATAAAGTAGAAAGAGGACTTGGAAATCTAAAAACTTTATTGGGGGATCGGGGGGAGTATGACCATCATATGATGGTTCAGGTTGGCTGACTAGTGTTGATGCAAAAATATTTGGGGAAACCAAAAGGGTGTAAAATGGGCCAGTATATTGCAAAAATATATACAGAATATAAATGTTATATATATATATATTTTTTTTTTTTCTTCAATACAATAATAGGCACATTTTCCATAATTTGGTTAACAGATCAAGTGAAGAAAAATAGAGGGAAAAAACAGTAAAGAATCTTTAAAAAAATATTTAATATATATTTATTACATATGATATATAAACAGACATTTTTTCCCCCCGTTTTTTTCTCTGCTCCTACTTTTTTCCCTCTATTGCTGCCTTTTCAATTGATCTGTGAATAAAAGCAACATTTAGTGGCCAATCAATTATCTCTTTATTTTAATTTTTTTTGTGCCATGGCTGAACACCGAAACTACCACCACCTTTGGCCATTGCGCTAGTTTGCTCAGTAATATATCCGTATTGCGCTTCAACGATACGGAATTCTGCCAAATTTGAATTCACAAGTCTAATAGGCAGCCAATAATTATTTTGATATGTTAGGCACTTATGTGGCAGGCTAGATCCTTCCATTAATATGCTCAAAATTATTGTCTTTTTCACTCAGAGCTGCAGAGCATGTTGATACTTTAAATGCATATATTACTAATATACAATTGTTAAATCCCAAACTTAATTTAGTCGTTTGTGACTACTGTCCTGTTATATTCCAGCATTACATGGTTATATCAATTAAGTCTAGGTACTTGAACTTCATTTGTATCATTTATAATATTGTATTGCTCTTGAATTGAAGTGTAGTAAATATAGGCGTGCACAGCCTATTGTATAAGGGTGTGCACCCTAAAGCAGAAACACACATGCTGCGTATATATATATATATATATATATATATATATATAATACACAAGATCCAGCGCACTCACCTATCCACTAAACAGCAACTTCAATGTTGAAAGATTTTATTTGTTTTTTTTAAAAAAACATTTAAAAAAACAAATAAAATCTTTCAACATTGAAGTTGCTGTTTAGTGGATAGGTGAGTGCGCTGGATCTTGTGTATTGTATTATTTGGCCCCCAGCAGCACCCCCATTTATGCATGTTAAGGTGAGTGCAGCCAAACCCCTCTTGTTTTATATATATATATATATATACGCAGCATGTGTGTTTCTGCTTTAGGGTGCACACCCTTATACAATAGGCTGTGCACGCCTATATTTACTACACTTCAATTCAAGAGCAATACAATATTATAAATGATACAAATGAAGTTCAAGTATATACACACACACACACACACACACACATATATATATATATACACATATACACACACACACACACATATATATATATATATATATACACATATACACACACATACACACACACACACATACTGCTGTGTGAGGGTGATGTGTGTAGGTGCTGTGTGTGCGGGCGCTGTGTGTGTATGTGAAGGTGCTGTGTGTGTAAGTGTGTGTGTGTGTGTGAGGGTGCTGTGTGTGTAAGGCCGCTGTTAGTGTGTGCTTGTGTGTGTGGGTGAGGGTGCTGTGTGTGTGAGGGTGCTGTGTGTAAGAGTGCTGTTAGTGTGTGTATATGTAAGGATGCTGTGTGTGTAAGGGTGATGTTAGAGTGTGCGGTGTGTGTGTAAGGGTGCTGTTAGTGTGTGTGTGTGTAAGGGTGTTGTTAGTGTGAGGGTGCTGTGTGTGTAAGGGTGTTAGTGTGAGGGTGCTGTTAGTGTGTGTGTGTGTGTGTGTGTGTGGGGGGGGTGTTAGTGTAAGGGTGATGTATGTGTGTGTGTGTGTGCTGTTTGTGTGTAATGTGTGGGGTGTGGGGGCCGTTTAGTTAATATTCCCCCTCCCTTCTTACCTTATGTAGGGAGGGGGGACCGTGCTGCTGCCATCCCTGGTGGTCCAGTGGAAAGTGAACTCTAGCCCCACAGGGGGCTAGAGTTCACTCTCGCGAGATCTGAGCGTTGCCACGGTAACAGTGGCAACGCTCCGACCTTGCAAGAGCTCCCCGGGTCCTCTCCTGCCTCCCTCCCTGCCTGTGGTTAGGTGAGTGAGATCTTTGATCTCCCTCACCTGCCCACGGAGGGAGGCACATAGCGCGTGCCCAGGGGATTAGGGTGTGCCTGGGCACACCCGGCACACCCCGTGCGCACGCCTAGGGTAGTAAATTAAACAACAAAATCATGTCCCATTGTACAGCGCTACGAAATTTGCTGGCGCTATATAAATAATAATAATAATGATAATGTGTCTGTTTATTTGATAAACCATCTTAACCCCTGTGCTCTGTATCTAGACCAGCTTTAATTACTGTAGATGCATGGTTAGCCACCATGTTCCCTTTGACTTTGTGTCAATCTCTTTAATCCTGTTATGCACAGTTTGCAGTCTATTTAACCTTTTATGAAGCTTTCATGTAATTTGCACAAAAAATAATAATAAAAAAAACACGTTCGTGAGACAACCCTTGGCTTTTCAGATTTTTCCTTTCAACCGTCAGGAAGGATGGTATTGCAAACATCACTACACGTTTCTTTAGAATAAAAATATCCTAAACAAGGTCAAATTTCAATAAATTCACCACTAGAAATTCAAGTACTGCAAAATGTAAGAAAATAGGTCAATGGCATGAATATAGGAATGTCGAATTCAGCAAAATGTAGACATCAAAGCCCTTTCGTAAATCTGTAGGGTTTTGATGCAGAACGGAATTCGGACAGACCATGAAAGGACTGGGGATAGAAGATTGAATATTCAGGAACACTAAGATCACAGGCAGACTTATTCTTCACTGATATTTCAGAAAAAGTGAGGAAGTCTATAAAAAGTATTCCCAGTGTATAGCAATGCCAAGTTTCGGGTTCTTTATTTACTCTACTGTTGTCCAAGTTGCATCTGTTTCAGTTTTTAAACCTGTCCCTGATCTTTAATAATTTTTTTTTTTTTTTTACTATTTCTTTGCCACGTGTCTCAATGCCACTGTTTTATACAAACTAAAGCATATAAAAAAAAAAAGCACACACACAAAATAAATAAATAAATACAAAGGCATATAGGTAGCCCACGGATTATGTTGTTTTATCATTCCCTTCTTTTTTCTTTTACCACTTTACGATTACCTTATGTATGGAGTTCTGCTTAACTGCAAAGTGCAGATGTGGCTAAGGGTCCTTCACGTCTACCAGATCATCATAGTCTGCTAACCTTAATTTCCCCACTTAAAAATGGACTGACGCAAAAAGATTAAATTGACACCGATATTTCATCACCTTCCTCGGGTCAAGTTCTTTCTTCCCAACTTCCTTTCATTCTACCCACTCATGTAAAATACAAGGTCTCTCACCAGACATCACATTCTCCACAGGCCCCAACAAGCATTCAAAGGACTTTGTACCTGGGACTTAACTATTAGTCATAGCTATAAACATTCGAATTTTGTTCCTTTATTGCACCCATGTAGACCATAAACATTCTAATAAAAGTCTCATTTTTCATAAGCTCAAAGTAACCAAATTAAAAATACTCTTTTGATACAAGTCACCCAGACACATTATGTATATTGAAGCGGTGTCTTCGTCAAACCAAGATAGATATTTGCATATACACAGTAATCTGATTTTGTTGGTCTCAATTACTCAAGCAGTCAAAGACTAGCCTGCTTCAATATGGCAATGTGTTGCCATCATACTTTCCCACTTAATTATTGTCTCTCTTGATCTCTACCCATCATCCACAATCCCCCTTCAATAGTTTGTCTTTCTTTCTACTATTGTCCATACTTCTTTCTTTCTCTATATCCCTTTTCATAATACTTACATTATTTGCGGTTTTTCTATTTATGATCAAAGTGGCATCCAATATATATATGTATATTGCAGAGTCACGTCATTACTTTAACCAATTATTTTCAGTCATCATACAGAGAATCTAGCCCCTTAAGGACTCATGACGGAAAAATTCCGTCTTTTATTCCAGAAGGTGTGTCCTTAAGGGGTTAAGGTAGCATGGCGGAAAGTTAACAAAACCACATCCTAATGAATATTGGGACTGCTAGCAAACATTGCACCGCAACTCCAATACATCTTCCGCTCATGCCTACTCCAAATTCATTAATGGTGCAACATCGTTTTAGTAGACTAGTGAGGGTCTAAAAAAATAATCGGAACTCCCATGTTTTGCACTGTGGGAGGTTTATCAAGGCAAAGTAGGTGCTGTTTAAGTGCTAAATGTTACAAAGCATTTTCTTTGTTTTCATTGTGATTATTTAACCCTTTGCACTAAAGCAGTATCTATTTTTTTGCCATAAGGAATCTGTCCCTACAGGAGAAGAAGAAAAAAAATTTCAAAAAAAAATAAAAAATACCCTGAGTAATCCAGGTTTAAAGGGACAATCATTTCCCTTAATTTAACAGTCCGTTCCACCATGTACTTCATGTACATCAATACACCTCATTAAAGAAGTGAATCAATTAAAGAGAAAATCTGGCATCAATACCATAATGTTTAACCCCTTAAGGACACATGATATGTGTGACATGTCATGATTCCCTTTTATTCCAGAAGTTTGGTCCTTAAGGGGTTAAAGGCTATAATTAAAAAAAATATAAAAATACCCTGTATTCATAAACCGCTACTTTTAAACTTACAAATTAGGATTGACAATATGCCTACAAATGGGGCGTTTAAGCAATGATTATATATTCAAAAAACACAATTTAAGATGCCAGCTGGAGCAAAGGGGCAAACAGATTTTTACTTCAAAACAGGAAGCACCAAGACATATTTAGATTAATTAAAATGTTAGGGAGAATATACATGCATCATCAAATCCCGCCTGCACACCCACAATTTTTTTTTTCCCAACTGTGAATCATAAACAGGTTGTGAAGCAGGATTTTAACATTTTCAGTGCCTGATTGATAGGCAACACTTTAATCAGCAATGCATTACACACCATTCAGGTACACAAATGGTTACTGTACACAAATGAAACATGTAAACATGACATCACATAGGTTCTAAGAGAGAATCAGCCGGTGCTGCAAATTCTCAATCCTACATTCGGCTAGCTGCATGTTTGTATGTAGTTCTACACTTGATTTAAAGTCACCTGAAACACGATTATTTTTTAGTGCAGATATGGAGATAGAATAGAGACACGTAAAATATGAATCTCTATATATTTTTTTTTTTATTTGTGTAATGATGTGTTGCAACCTGAGGTCCATCCTTTCAAAATGAGGAAATTCACTTCTTTATCTATCCCAAATATCTGAAAGAAACCGCAAGCACTCATATACAGGAAGATTCCCCCACACTCAATTTAATCAGCTTCCCTTTCTTATATGCAGGGAATTCAATGAAAAAATTAGAAAGACGTAAGAATTAAATTTTTATAAAAACTGAGGGTCTTCCTGGGAGGTTGGACCACCAACTCCTTGGCTATATTAATAAAGTGGAATTCACACTAGCCAACCATGCCTAAGATTAGAGGGAGCAGGCATGGAAGAGTTAATCACATATTATCAATGTAACCAAGATGGAGGTGGTCCCTGGTCATAGTGAAAATCCTATGTTTTTATTCTTAAATGGTTTTATATTACACTGGTAACTAGACGGGTGTAGGTAGCACAACCACTACAATGCTCCGGTTATTTAGAGTGGTACTTTAAGATCAAAAGTCAATTGGCATTCTGATATTGGCAAAGACTATCAAAAGTTATGTCAAGAAAATAAAGGAAAAGTAACTATAAGCAGCCTAGGTGTTCTCTTTGATTCCGACCTCTCGTTCATCACTCATGTCCAATCAATCGCCAAATCCTGCTGCTTCCATCTCAAAAATATTGCACGCATCTGACCCTGTGTAATGCCTGATACGGCAAAGGTGCTTGCCCATGCCGCTGTCCTCTCTCGCTTTAACTACTGTAATCCACTTCTGCTCATCTTCCCGTCTGCCCGCACCTCCCACGCCTCCTCCCTCGGTCAGTCCCTACATTGGCTTCCCGAAAGATATAGGACTCAATTTAAGATCCTGATAT